TTCAGATGCAGGCTGTGATTCTTGAAAAAAGTTAATTCTAAGATTTATATACTACACAATAATATTCAACAACACACTACTACCAAATACCAAATGCTACAGGACCTTGTATTTAACAATTAGTATAAGCACATGGATCCAGAGGAGCAAAATACAACATTTAGAAGAAAAGCCAAGTTAGCAACTCTCCTAAGCTACAATCTAGAAAAAGGAAAACTGACTGAATTCATATCCCTCACTATGCACATAAATTCTAAAACATATCAATGAACAAGGCATAAAATGGCATGTTGATATAGACCTGTGTCTTCAGGCCTCCAGAGACTGAGACAGTAGGATCATGAGCCTGAAGCAATCTTTACCTGAGTAAATCATCTGTGTATCATGGGTCCATCCCCAATGGTGGGGTTGCCTGTAATGCTAGCATTAGGATGTGAAAACCGAAGAATCTGAAGTTCAAGGTCATGCTCCCATACACAGGGAGTTCAGAATCAGCCTGGGCTATATGAAACCCTATCTCAAAAATGTAAAAGCAAACCCAGGTTCTAAGGTTGTTTCTCTAATAAGATAGTCCTTTCTGAACAGAAGAGGGGCCAGGAAGTTGTACCATAATGTATATATCATCATAATCTGACTGCTTATTTTTTTGTATGTTCTTTTTGAGGCAGGATTTCTCTGCGTAACCCTGGCTGTCCTGGAACCCTCTCTATAGATCAGGCTGGCCTCAAACTCACAGGGATCCACTTGTAGGGATTAAAGTGCTGCCCAGCTCTGTCTGCTTGATAAGGAAAATTTATCAGGGTATACTCTTACTAAAAAGTTTATATGAGATATTTTCAGAGTCCCAGAAAGAAAGGGATGAAAAGAATTAGCAATTTCCTGGCTACCCAAAAATGGTGTATACTCTGTAGTATTTTATCAAAAAGCAGGTAAGAAATACGTGTACTATGCTGTTTTAAATCATATGACACTTAATAACAATGACAACAACGCTGACATGTAAAAAGCAAAGTAATTAAACAATAATAAAGTATAGAAATGTTTTTAAAATGTTTTAAAAGACTGACCTAAAGCCTGGCAGTGGTGGCACATGCCTTTAATCCCAGCACTCAGGAGGCAGAGACAAGAGGCCCTCAGTGAGTTCAAGGCCAGCCTGTTCTACAGAGTGAATTACAGAACAGCCAAACTATACAAAGAAACCCTGTCACAAAAACAAAACAAAAAAAGAAGGAAAAGACTGACCTAAAAGCTGATAGTTCCCTTTTCCCTGCACCCCCCCCACCCTTTAAAGGTGGGTCACCCTTAAAGGGTACCACAAGAAGTATGTGGCAAGGCAGAAAGGAGACATACCTTGTCTCTGGCTTTTATGTTGTAAAATTACAAAGCTAGTATACAGATTTAATCAGAGAGAGAAAGGTAAACCCAAAACTTCTAAAAGAGAGAAAAATAATGAACTGTGTGGAATATAGATAAATTGTTTTATGTGGAACATGTAAAGATAAAGCTGTTCCAACTTGGAATAAATGTACTGGTGTTTGCACTGAACCTCTGGGATATAAAGACAGAAGAGTGCTGTTGTGCTTCCAGAAAAAGCTATACCCTAGATAGGAATGTGGTTTTGTTCATCTTGGCAGATGGCCCAGAGATCATTCTGCAGACACCTCTAAGTGGGGTACAGAAATAGCAATGCTCCTATGATTTAAGTGCTACATATAAAAGGACATGCAAAACAGAATGCAAGTTTCAACAGTAACTCACTTCAGCAAATGTCCTCAGAATGCACCTCAATTTCAAAACTCTGGCACAGTACCCAGGCTCTAGGATTTTAGCCCAACCTAGGACCAAGAATCTTAGTAAAGGTTGAGATTCAACCTTCTTGTTACCTAATGAGAACACGGCAGAAATCACAAAATTTATGAGCTTCAATTTAGCAATATTTCTATTGGCAAATAAGTTATTTGCTATTTAAAATTTATCTCCCAAAAGAGGTAAACATTATAAGAAAGTTTACTGCAAGATTAGTATAATTTATATAAAATATCTGAAACAAATATTAATCAAGAAAAATCAATATTACAAACTGTTATGAAATGATGAAACTTCTAGATGCCTAAGAAGGTAAAAAGGGAAATATCATTTAAAACTAACTCAGTATCTTGCTACTTAAATCAACCAGGCCTTTCTATGTCAGAGCTTTCAGAGCACACTGTCAAATTTACTAATACTATTCATGTGAGTAGCCATCCCATTTTTCTCTAGCTACTATTTATATAAGTGAACTTTTTTCATAAAGAAAAAGAGCTGATATTCACACACACACACACACACACACACACACACTATTCTTGAGATTGCCCATCCTGATTATTACTGTACAATCGCAAGGACATTTGAAGTATTTTTATATTCCTTCTTGAAGTAATAAAAAGCTGCATGACTAGGAAGTCATGTCACAACAATAAGACTACGGCTGCACTGCAATTGTTGTCTGAAAATTATAAAACTCATCTACAAATGAGCAAAGAAAAAAACCCCATAAAACTCCAACAACTTTGTCAGGATAGCTCCAAAATGAAAGCTCAGGTAACATTTTATTATTACTATGCCATCTCAGATAACAACTCGGAGCTTGCTGGCATCTTTGTAAGAGCTAGCAGATACTGGGAACATAACAAAGTACTCAGCTGAAGTTATTTTCTCAGTGTATTGCCCAGAAATAAGATTGTCACTTGGCTTTCTTCATGGAGCAGTCTTTGTTAAAGGCCCTTCTTATCAGTACATAGTTACAGTATTATCGTATTTTTCACTATTACAAAAAAAAAATGTTGCAAGTAACAATCTGGACTCAGCACATTCTATAGACATATGTTACAGATTTTCAATGTGAACTGCTATCAAAGGTACAGACCTTGAACTAAATATGCACATCTGTCTTCTCTTTAGTTCAATTTACTAATTGGTAATAACGATGAAACTTCACCTTTCCCACCAACTGAAACTTATTGAACTCAATGTTTTCAACTAATGCAAGGACAGGGGAGAGTGCATATAAATTTTTTTGTTAGTGCATTTTTCAAAATACTTTAGTTTCAGGGTATGGTTGCTTTAAAGAAAAATGTTGCCAACTGTCTGTATTTCTATAAACTTTTTGTATTAAAAAGTTAGAAGGAAAGTATGGTGAACTCATATGTATATTATCACTCAGCTTCAACTAACTAATGGCCAACTCTGTTCACTCTATGTTCTTCCTGCTTCTTCAACATACAAGAACAAACAATCTCATCCATTTTTTTGGGAACTAGCATATTGATGGACATAAAGAAGAGGTTTAAATAAGTTGATATTTTTGGCATATTTACAGCATGAATGTTAAGTTAAAACTTAAAAATGCATTTTTTTTTTCGAGACAGTATTTGTCAATTATTTCTTCCCTGAACATGGGCAAAGTCATGGAAACTTGTCAGGTATATAAATTACACAGCAGCTCAAAAACAAGAATAACTTGTTACTGAAAAATAAAATCTGGTCTTGGCCACACACCCAACCCAAAAGCTTCTTCAGTCACTAAAAGCTGCCCATCATATCTCACAATATAATTTTTGTATGGTATAAACTATGACATGCACATAAAATACTAGCCCTAAGCTGGGCATTGGTGGCACACACCTTTAATCCCAGCACTCGGGAAGCAGAGGCAGGGGGAGCTCTGTAAGGCAAGCCTGATCTCCAGAGCGAGTGCCAGGATAGGCTCCAAAGCTATAGAGAAACCCTGTCTCAAAAAAACCAAGAAAAAAAAAAGAAAAAAAAAATACTAGCCCTACATATTTTAGATTGACTCACCCGGACATTAATGGCAAATAATTCTTTTTTTTTTTTTTTAAGATTTTATTTATTATGAATACAGTCTATACAGTCTTCTGCCTGCAGGCCAGCAGAGGGCACCGGATCTCATTCAAGGTGGTTGTGAGCCACCATGTGTTTGCTGGGAATTGAACTCAGGACCTTTGGAAGAATAGTCAGTGCTCTTAACCGCTGAGCCATCTCTCCAGCCCCGGAAAATAATTCTTACTTTAAAATTTTTATCTCACATTTTTATCTCAAGAGAAACTGCTTACAAAAAAATGTGAACATTAAATTCTTTTGAAATTTCAGAAACTATTTATGTTGGCTAAATTTGTGAGCAAGTTTGTAGTTCTAAATTCCTGAAGGAGCATAGGAAGCTTCTTCCAAAACATAATTAGAAACTAAGTATTCGATGGACTCAAGTAATGCATAGTTATATTGAATTCTGAACACACACCTTAGTGACCCATTAGAAAATTATGGAAAAAGTCTAAATATCTATCCAAAAAGTAAGTCTAATAACATTTACCACAAACATATACACATGAAAAAGACGCTAATGAGTCAACTACACATGGTATATATAAAATATTTTATCCCAAACCTGTATAACTTAAATATAATTTGGAAAAACAAAAATAAGTGATTAGATGAATAAAATGATCAGTTCATACCTAACAGCCCAGTATCTGCATCTTCTTCATTTTTCAAATTTTCTGCATGCAATTCTGTAAATACAAAGAGGTTTAGGTAGAAGAGTAGTATTTCTTCTTGACATGAATATGTAAAGGCTCTGAAGACACTGTTCAGCTGTCAAAAGCACCCTGAAGTCAGAGTTAGATTCGAACCCTAACTCTAACACCACACCCAACCCTCCCACCCACACCCCCACACCCACACACACACACACACCTTCAGCAAGCAAATACCTTTACAAGGTTCATAAACATGGGAAAAGTGTTTATCCCCTGGGTTGTGCTGAAGACAGTTTGTACAAAAGAAACTTAATAGCATACTAGATTTTGACTTCAGTTCCTTGTACCAGTCTGCAATGAACTTCTACTTATGGGCATATAACTTTATATTACAAAAGAAAAATAAACTGTGTGCACGACAAAACTATCTGGGTTGAAGTGAAAAAATGGCCAAGGGTGTGACAGATTTGAAGCAAGGGAACTCAAACTTATTTTTTTTCTTCTTTCCTTTTTGGTTTTTTGACACAGGGATTCTCTGTAACAGCCCTTGCTGTCCTGGAACTCACTGAGATCCACCTGCCTCTACCTCCCAAGTGCTGGGGTTAAAGGTGTGTGTGTAACTCACTGAGATCTACCTGCCTCTGCTTCCCAAGTGTTGGGATTAAAGGTGTGCATGGAACTCATTGAGATCCACCTGCCTCTGCCTAGAACATCCTGGGATTAAAGGCGTGAGCCACCATCTCCCTCCTGGTGGCAGTCAAACTTTTAAGGCCCACAGTTAACAGCCGATAGTATACTGTGAAGAAGTAATCTGTCTTCTCTACAAAAGTCAATCTAACCATGGTAACTTGTTCAAGGGCAACCTGGATCCAATTAGGGGCTGGGAGAAAATAAAGCAAAACTGGGGTTAAATAGATTTAATTTTCATTAGTCAACACTAGAGTGACTTGAAGTGTTCAATCCTTTTAATACAAGATGCTGTTCTGAGGTTTCTATTTCTCGATAAACTGGCAAAAGTCAACACTATTAGCTCTAAAGTCAAATCTCTTTCCACTATAATGAATACTAAAAACCACACAACAAATCCGAATGGGAAAAGGGCTTAAGAGTGTCTTTCGAGGCATTCATGTTTGGCCAGTATGTGGATTCCCGACACAGCAAAACAGACTCTGTCTAGCAAAAACTATACCTCGTTAAAAACACAAAATAGACAAGCTAATATGCCTATAAAAGTAGAAATTTGGGATGCGAGGAAGAAATCCTTATTCTTCAATTTCTCTTTGCTCATTTGTGAACTAGCCTTAGAACATATACAGCCTATAGTTACATGAACTTTTTCATGACCCTTTTAAAGGTAGGGATTCTGATTAAATAGCCGTGCTAATGTTTCAACTCGTGTTCAAAGCCTTTACGGCATTTCTTTAGTGTGGATTTAGTCAAATCCTTTCTAAATGGTTCTCACTATGGGGCAGGGACCTCCATCTAGGGAGAGAAGACAAAGGGAGGGAGAACGAAGAAAGGTACTGTTTCGAAGGAACGCTTTGGGGAGGAAAGTGTGAACGGGGGCGAGTGATGTACTGGCTCGTCTTTACTGTGCACAGACTCACAAGGCCTGGGCTTCAGTCAGTACCTTTAACGATCAGGTAGGCGATGGCCAGGAGGAAAGCAAGGAGGCCGGCGAAGAGCAGCGAACAGAGAATGGAAAGGACCTGGACAGACCACCGCCGAGTCTGGCTTCTGGTGGCCGCAGTCGCCGGGAAGATGCCGTTGCGCTTCTCGGGCAGGACGGGTGACCCATCCCCGACCGGCGGGAGTAGCGGGGCCCTCTTGGGCTCCCACGACGCCCCGGCTGAGAACTCCGCCCGCAAATCGCGGGCTACTTGGTCGCATCCCTCGTCTTCGTCGATTTCGCCCGCACCCCAGCCATCGCCATCCCCGTGAGTGAAGTCGGAATACACAGGCCGAGTCACCGGGCCTGGGGTGACCTGGCGGCGCCGTCGCGCGGCCACAGACCTCGCACTCTCTACGAAGGACATGGCGGGAAAAGACTGAGAGCCCCGGGGCTGGCGGGCGGCCGCCCCCCCCCCCCCCCCCCCCCCCCCGCCCCGCCCATCCGATGCTGACCATGTCTGCCCTGGGGCTGCAGCGGCCCCATGGAGGCTCCTGGGCTGGCTGGGAGCTCCCCCCCCTTG